TGAAAACATTTGACCCGTTCAAGAAAATAAGAAAAACGATCTCTCATTCAGTTCAACAGGTGGAATCGGGAAATAGGCAATCATTGAAAACCGATCCGTGTCCGACAAGTTCGGCAAAAGCATTCGAAAATAATTCCCAGAAATGTTACATACAGTTGATGCGAATTTGAGCATTTTGAGTTTGAACGACTTGGTAAACTGATTGTGAGATACACGGATTCACTTACTGCTACAACAGATGGCAGCTCAGCTATGTGCACGAAAGATTCTTTGTAAAATTTGGAGATCACAGCAAAGCATTTCTTCAATCACATTCAGAATAAATGAAGGGTTCGACAAGATGCAAAAGTCCCTTATGCAACTACCTATCAACAGCACTCAAAGCAAATTTTAAGCTCGAATCGTGTTGAAAAAATAACGATACGAACAAATGAAGACTCACCAGATAGCATCCGATAACATCGTACAAATCGGCAGTGGTGAGAATCACACAGATATTGAGGAACGAAGTACCCAGAAGCAGCACTTCGACGGCGACGACAATAGCGGCTCGTGCGAGAGCCTCTGCTGTAAGCGAACGGCCGTCCAGGACGTCCCACATGTAAGCTAGTGCTTTCAGCAAGTCTGTGGCCAGAAACTGTCCCGACCATGAGGCAGACGACCGCACTTGCGCACAAGCAAATAGGCTGTGCTACTTGCGGGAACAACACCAGTCGTCAAGCGAACAGCGTGAGTAACTTGGTCGCTACAACCAAAACGTATTTAGCAGACGAATCTACGTACAGTGGACTAAAAAATGAATACGAATTCAGAAAGCTGCGAAACTCGAGACTGTGAGGCGCATTGGACGTAGCCACGCCTGCGCCCGTGAATCGATACTCTGTCAAATAGATATTTGTGGACAATGAGCACTGGCAGGGAAGAAAGGATGCGGGAGCCACAAAGAAAGCGCTGCGCTTCGAATTTGTTTGGACGCTCTGAATTTCTAATAGCACATTAGGTTATGAGCAACAGGAGATCGCAAAAAGCATCACCAGCGAGAAAGTCGCGGCTTCGCAAAGGTTATGTGGAAGCGGCTTTTATCTAATTGACGCCAGAGCAGCGCTAGTATCCACGTCATCGTAATGTGCATAACCCCTCGCGGAGCCTATCGATGTGCTAATACTATGCCACCCCGTTTGCGGTCTGAAATCTCAGAGAAAGAACAATGACTACGCGTTGTGTCAAGCCCGACATGCACGTTTATGCAAATCGCCTTAGCAAGCAGTTGACTTACTTTGTGGAAACAAAAGCGAAGATAATTCTTGTGAAATGACTGGAAGCACCGTAACGGGTACGTATCTCGTGTTTCACTATGACACCCATTCGAAAAAGACTAAGAATACTAACCATAGGCAATAGCAGTCGATATAGCACTCAAAAGGGTCAATTTAGCGTAATGAAAGGCTCTGTCTAGTTCCTCAAGGACATAGTTCTCGTCCTTCAACAAAGTACTTTCTCTGGCTTTCACCAACGACATTTTCATAACAAAATGCATACTACCAGACGATTTGTGCTTTTCGTACCGCAATTTTGGCTAAAGTCTGCAATCCGGCAAAAGCAATACTAACCAAGCACTTACACGCAAGCAGCCATCGCGCAAGAGAGCAAGGCCATCGGCTTACATTAGATAGTTTTGGAAACTCGGTGCCATCTAATATATAAAGAATCACAAGCGCAGTTCAAAAATC